TGATCGGTCGACGCGAAACGCTGCGTTTGGCGCCGAAATCATTCGTTTTCGGGCTATTTGAGGCCACTTTTGACCAGAACAACCTCTCGTACGCCGATTTCGCAACCCGGGGCGACTCCGACGCCTTCGCCCGCTCGTAGCATATGGTCCACGCCTTCGACGGCAGCCAGCCCGCCGCCAGCGCCCACAGGCGCACCGCGGTTCGCGTTTTCGGTCAAAGCGCTTCGGCGCCCGGCGGACATTCGCGAGTCGTCAGAAAATCGGCGCGCGACCAAAGATGCGTCGCACCATCGACTCGCACCATGACTTTGATCGTCCGGTTGCAAGAGCGCCCGAGAACTCATCGATTTGCCGCCGCATGACCGGACCGCCGGATTACGGCGTTTTGGGGCCCACGCCGTAGACGCACGCGCGCGTCTTTTCCGGAGCCAAGGAGCTGGTTACGAACGTCACATAGGTCACAGACGACAGCGTAACCCGCGCGGGGGCTCGCGGGGGCGCACGCGCGGTGCGCGGGCGCCGGCAATCTCTTGCCACAGCCATGAGGACAAGGAATCCGGGCCGCTTCCCGAGGGGTAATCTTCCTGGGGGCATACCGCGACGCCATCGGCTCCGCCTGGGACCGTCTCGTCCCCGAGAGCTCCATGGAGAGGTGCATCTCAGCCTAGCGACTTGGCTCGACGCATTGTATCGCTCCTCGCCCCCGGCGGACGGCGTCCCGCCGCCGATTTTGGCCGAGGTCGCCGGTCGGTGGAAGTCTCGTCCAGTCGGGAGAGCGTATGGTTTGCCTCGTCGGTTAATTCAAATCGCCGCGCACGCCCCGCCGCTCGAGCTCGGGCAGGAGCCGCCGTGACTCGAGCGCCGAGCTGTCGAAGCCGTGCACGAGCACGAGGGCCGGGCCGCTCGTCGCCGACGTCTTCACGTAGGCCGTGCGCGAGCTCGGCAGGTCCGCGGCCTCGTACTGGGCGGCGAGGTCCCGCGCCGCCGGCTCGGTGACGTCGCGTGGCTGGGAGCGTGGCTGGGAGCGCCGGCGTGAAACGCGCGACGCGTTAACAGCGAAGACTCACCACGACGATGAGCGCCGAGACTATCGTGCGGCGTGCGATGGCGAACGGGGGCCTGCCGC